TACTGTTTTTCTTATTTTATTATGCAGCATTTTCTGTTCAGGATATAAATACAAGTTTTCTGTGACAATTTGATGAGCAAGTGTGAAAATCTGAGGGCAAAGCAGTTTTCTTTTCTCCTTGGAAGCTGAGACTTCCAAACATTAATGCACTTGCACTGAATCTATGGTACGCTCTTCCTTTATCAGCATTTCAAGTCTTCTCCAATGATTGGAGTCTACCTGCACCTAACTAATCACATCCCTGTCTAAAAGGCCTCACAATTAATGGTGCTTGTTGAAGTGAAACCCAAGTATTTAAGTTGAAGGAATGACTTGTGTTATGTAAGCACCCAAAATCCTCTTCCTTATTTTTTTACACTAAGTCATAGGGATCCAGACATCCCTCTCTAATGCACATTCTGCAAAATCCCAAGGGATAACATGCCAGAAGGGCTGTATAATCAATCTAACAAGCACCTCTGCACCTACCCCAGGGACTCCTCCTAGCTGGACATACCTGAAAAGCCTCTCAAAGGACATAAGTCGGATGTATTTTAAGCAGATACTCAGATTTAATCTTATTTTTACCATTTTTAGTTGTGGTCTCAATTTTGCTGCTAATACTAAAATCGTTTTGACCAAAGGTGAAGGGTTGAAGGACAGATCATGATAAACTGAAAGCTCTAACTTTCAGTTTAGTGCTTTCTTTAATCTAATGGATTGGTGCAGATGAAGGCCCAATCCCTCTGTTCATCTCCTTCACCGTCCAGCCATTACTCAGCAAAATCCCATGGTCCATGAACTCTTCTGCTAATGCAAATACCCTCTGTTGACCCAGAAGCCAGAAGGAGCACTCCAAACTTTTCTTATTGGTAACCATGGTTTCACGTTTTGAGAGACTCACTCTGATTATGACGCCTCACATTTGAGCTTCAAACCACTTCATTGTGTAGTAAGTTTTGAAAGGCCAACAGAAACAAAACAGCCACAAAAACTGGATTTTCATGACAAACCCTCTAGGTTTGACGCATTGTGAGCTCAGTGACCATTTGAAAGATTTGTCACATAACTGCACATACCATCCCCATAGTTATATAACACGTTGGTAGCTTGTTTCCAGGAGAAAAGTCAGAAAAGAGGTCAGTAGGGATAAGGAACAATATAATCATATTCTGAGTGAAAATCTTTTGCAGAATCTCTTGCTAATCTGTTGTGAGGTTATGTTTGACATAAAACGTTTGGTTTTGGGAAAATTGAAGCACATGGAGCATCTCTGGAGAGACCTAGTGAATTCACCTGGTTCACCTTGAGCATCCCTGGCAGCAAGTCTAAGAATTAGAGAAATGTCCAAAACAAGTAAGTGCCAAAATTCTAGGGTTATTTCCAGAGTTTCAGCCGTCAGTTTATTTTTCCCTCACCAAACACACCAAGAGCCTTTTTTTGTTCCATCATTATGGAAGACTTAATAGACATTGATTGAACAAAAGGCAGGATGAGATATGAAATACAGTGGATTGTTGAGCACACAGACAGATAGACATACCTACACCATGACTGAAGAGTTATGAGATCACCCTAATAACATTACAAATAGCACCTAACTCAAAATATAAATGTATTATTATCACTACATTGTGCTCAATATAAAGCTAGCCTTTGTGATGACATGTTATTAATACACAGTTAGCAGGGGACACCTGCTCGCTTTGAATTGTGTGTACAGATCCGATGCCAGTCAGTGCCAGTCAGCGAGGACTAAACGTGAGTTGCTAGAGTGTTGCAACATTATCTGGGTGACCAGTTTGAAAAAATCAGAACTGCAATTCGTTATACTAATGTGCACATATAGAGTTTTTCTTTTCATTTTTTTTACTTGACTGTACGGAATCTGCTCTTGCTTTAGCCATTCAGCATGGGATTTCCATCCATATGGCAATATCCATATTAGCAAAGTCGTTTACTATGTCTTTGTTTCAGCCAATCCTGTACGCAATCATTATGGTATTTTCAAGTTTTTGGCACCAGCAGTTCACTGAAGCCTTGGTCCTTGTCAGATTGTTAGTGTTTGCGTAGGTGCACTAGAAGTGTGTGCTTGATTTTTTTTGTGTATTGCCCACAGAGGATATGTGTGCAATGTTAAATCGTCTGTCTTCTCTTATGGCCAAAGAATTGGAGCCATGAATCAAATACCCTGGGAAAATTTAGACCTTGGCTTCATGTACATTACGATTATTTGTATTTCTGTTTCTAATTTTCTAAATGATTTGTTGAACTGTCTTTGATATGAAAATTGAGACTTCTTGGAGCTCAGAATATTTTTTTTCATCACAGTGATTGAAAACAAATGTTGGATACAGATTTCAAACCATTACAAATAACCTTTTCAGACAGTATGAGTCAGGATATATGCAAAGTAAAAATGAAAAATATTTGAATTTATTGTACCTGGCTGACTGTTTATTGAACATCCTGTCTGTCTCTGAGGGCTGTTTTGATGCACTGGTAAAGACTAGTTTTTGTGAGGAATCAGTAGTATTTATGTGATTATGGGGCAGGAAGTAACAACTGGTATGTAAACAAATTGCAGAACATTTTGTGGCCTGATCTGTTTCAGTCGTTTGGTGGTTAACATGAAGAGACCCCTGGAATATAGTCAAAATGCGACAAAATCAAATGCACAGTGGCAGATCATTTTTCTTTTCCTCTTTGCTCTCCCTTCCATTCCATACATGAAATTTTAATCAATGTCATTTCAATTATCCTGCTGCTTCAGCTCCATGTTTTTGAGAGTTGTGGTGAGAGAAGTTGCGTGTGTTGAACTAATATGACTATAAAAGGTTAGGCCTGCAGAGCTTTAACACTAATCCGGGTGCAGAGCCTCTTTAATTAGCCTTGCTTGGGTCTGCCTTGAAGAGTGTGTGTGTGTGTGTGTGAATGTGCATGTGTTTGTGAATGATAGACAAAGACAGAGGTAAAGAAACACACTGTCTTGTAAAAACAAAAAGTTCAACAGCTACATTTCAAGTGCTTCAGTGTCAGTAAGCACAAGAGCCACTTCATGGGCAGTATTGCCCCAAAGCTGGTTAGTGGGTGTTCAGCGAGGTGGTATGTGTGGTCCTTTTTCCTGGTGTCAAAAGAAACATATGACCTCATTCCCATTTGGACACACTTAAACCCTCTGTGTGACCAAGAATGGTCAGCTCTACAGCTGCAAGGTGTGTCTGTACAGGACGGACTTTAACTGTATCGGATTCCTGTTTAACAATGGAACAGAAGTCCAATCATTTTTTTCTATTTAGTTTTTTTTCCATATGTAAATGTAAATTTGTGAGGTATAATAAGAATTTCCCCCTTTAGAGATGCTTTGGCTTTGGCATCAAAATAAACTTTTTAGATGTACGCACATTTCCAAATGTGTCACTGTGTTCCCTCAATAGACTGATAAGTGAGGCCCTTGCCTATATGTCACATGTTTGCGTGTGATGGTGAGAGTGAGCGGAAAACAGTAAACCTTCATTAACAGCGACACGGCCAAGAAAAGAAATTATCGTTTGTGTACATTATTGAGACAAATTAAAATATATGCAGAAAAAATTTGCAAAACTGACTAAAAATCTAACCTGATTCCTCTAATTTGTTTTCCACGACTCACGTAACACGAAATATAACTGTACCAACAAGGAAACAGGACTATAACAATACAACCATAGCAAATAGGATCCAGGGCTATAACATAACACTGTGCTCAAACATGGAGAATATGTGATTGGGCATTTAATCGGCCGTGATTTGATTTTCCTGCGGAGTCAGGCTCATTTATGTGCCTGTTAAATGTTTAGTTGCTCAGCAACTACTCTGCAAAACTTGTTTACCAAATATACCGCGTACTGTTTAAAAGTAGGTGGACATCACAACTCATTGTAGAAAAATGTTTTTTGGTTTAAAGATTTCCGACCCATGGAATTATAAACTTATGCTGATCGCTGTTTCTGAAAATTAGAAATGAAATGATGGAGCACCACAGTTGTTCGAGTTAATTCAAATAAAAGGGTTTGTACAGCACAAGCGTTCTTTCTTTCTTTCTAACTTTCTTTCTTTCTTTCTTTCTTTCTTTCTTTCTTTCTTTCTTTCTT